GGATCCATTTGTTTAACGACAATGTTTAGCTGTTCAAGTTATTCCATAAGGGTGAAAATTGCATGTCTTCCTTATTCCATTTTGTACTTAATGTTTTTCTAGTGTGAATCTAGCTCATTTGCAATTTTTAATACGTTTGTTTAAATTCGCTAATGGATTAAAACTGATAAGAAGACCGACTGTGCGACGCGAATTATTCCTTGCTGACTGACCATGGATACCACTACAAACACTCCAACTTCTTCTCAACGGACTCTCGGGCTGCCAGGTAGCGGCACGCCCACCGCTACCGCAGACTCTAAGGGCTACCTGGCAGACCCCCTTTACACAGGTACGGTAGATAGGGGCACTCAAACTACCATGAAGTCATTTAGTCCACAACTCTGCCTTGACCTTGTTGATCAGCTCTCGGAAGATCAAATGACACTTGAACTCGAAAGAACTTGTAATGAGAAGTTCATCAAAGCTCGAGGCAAAATACGTAAAAGTAACTCGCTTACTGAACATTTTAAACAAGTAGTCATAGAAGACAGTACCGACTTAACACACGATCTCAACAAATTAACCTCTAATTTTGCGAGGCACGTGTCGGAAGCAAACAAACAACTGGAGCAGCTGAAGGAGAACGTAGTCCGTGCCCAGACGCTCGTTAAAGACCTACAACAGCCAGCAGCTCCTGCAGCCCGTGACGTCCCCCTCCTGCCGACTCCTGCCATCCTACCTACACCATCCTCAACAACTCGCAGTACTAGTAACCTGGAGCCTGAAGGTATCATGCCTTATACACTTTATGCAGAAAATTTATTTAAACAGTTTCAAGCTGCGCATTTGGACAACAACACAACATATGACCGCAATTTTGGAAATAGGAAAGTTGCCCACTATGGGAACATGCCTTATGAGTATGCTGGAGGCCGCCATGTGGCACGTGAAATCAGCACCAACACTTATCTGGCGAATATTGTTGATCATTTGAACTCCCTATTCCCTGACCAGGCCAAACCGTTCAACAGTTTCCTCGTGACCAAATATGATAAACATATCTCACACATCCCGCCACACAAGGATAACGAGCCATCAATAGACCCAGAAAGCACCATTCTAACCATCACGCTGGGTGCCCCTCGCCCCGTAGTGTTCAGAATAAAACCACCTGGTAGCTATAAGCGGTTCTCCCTGACCCCAGAACATGGGTCAATGTACACGATGACTCGGGCTAGCCAGGATGTGTTTGACCACAGTGTACCCCGGGTCAAGGAACAAGATTTCTCTGGCACTAGAATTAGCATTACCTGCAGGGTCCTCCGCCATGCATCAGCACCATACCAGAGGGGTAATTCTAGTCATGCTCGGCCTAAAAGGGTGTTGATTCTTTCAGATTCGAAGAATAAGTCGTTTGATTGTTCCACATTGCATGAGCCAGTTGTTGCCTTCAGAGAGGATCTCTTTCATCTGCGGGATCTACACCAGCACTGCAGATCCATTGAGCAGGCTGATGTTGTTCTCCTCTCTGCGGGCATCAACGACCTCAGAAAACACCGCGTTCACCCCTCGACTCTACACAACTTTGTTGAACGCTCAGTGAATCAATATAAAAACACTAAGTTCATTTTTGATTCAATTTCACCTCTCAACATGAGCGCCGACAGATTCAACAACATGAACAAATCTATCGACCAGCTGAACATGACATTGTTCGAACTTTCAGTTCATACTTCTAACTTCAAACTGTTTGATAACTTGAAATTTGGCACCTCACACCTGGCACGAGATGGCCTTCACTTTAATTTGTCTGGTCAATCCGTGCTATCTGAGTGTTGGGTTCACTGCATTCTACTTTCTCTAGGACTAAAGAGAGGATATCTGCCCCTGCGGCGCCAGTATAGAAATTTATTATGTCAGTTTTCTTTTCGTGTTAAGTGATTAATCTTTATGATAGAATTGCTGCACTACTTAACAATTTCACTCAAGAACAGAACAAGACCGACTAAACAAGCATGTAGCTGACAGAACAAACTGCGGAAATGGTCACCTTATAAATCCACCATAATAACCTGTAAACTAAATTCGAACAAATTTCAGCCTAAGTTATACCTAAATAATATCACGTATAATTTTAATTCATCATGAGCCTCAATATTAGTCCAGCATCTATGTCCATCACTCTTCGAATGAGCTGATTGGCTGATCACATCTTATCTAATCTAAGACGAGTTATCTCCGTTTCTCAGAATATTGCTTATTTTCTCAATTTAAATAGATGAAAATGAATTCTACAGTTACGTGATTATATCACATAACTGATTATGATAGTATAACTAATCACGGACGGGCGTTGATCACGCAAACAAACTGGACACGGACAATAATACAAGTACAAATTACACACCGTAAAGGGAATTATTGCTCCACAGTCGGTCGTTTTATTGTTAGATTTCACATGATTGAGTTAGAAACATATAGAAAACGTATTGGCTACTTTAATAATAGCCACTCAAACAAGAAGAGAACAAAGAATTCAGTAATACACTCCACACCCGTTCAAAACTCATTCAAACCACATCACATATGTCTTGCTTTTATATACTATTATTTCGTCCTTGTTATGTTACTCTGTTTTACCACCTGTATTTTGGAAAACCCACCTACAAACCCTGCTAAACTGATACAGCTTATTAAATCTCCACTCCTACTAAATATTAACAGTCTTGGTAATTTACTTTGCAATTTCTACCTTGTTATCTTTGGTATTGCAATTAGACGTACAATGAGTAGCTTATCTATTAGAGGTAAAACACTACATACGTTGTTTTTTAAATACAATTCCAAACGAGGCTTAATCCCATATCTACAAAATATAACTGCATCACTTTACCTTTGGATACTACTCATAAACTTTCTCCTTATCTTTATTTGTAACCCTAGCATGAAAAATCCAGGACCCCCGGGAAACTGCTCAGTTTTTTATTGTAACGTTCAGGGCTTGATCCCTTTTGGTGAACTTGGAGATGCAAATCCCACTCTCCACTCTACAAAAATTCACGAACTAAACCATTTTATTTATATCAATAAACCAGATATTGTTGTTTATAATGAAACATGGTTAAAGGACAATATCCATGATAGTGAAATCATCTCGACAGCTGATTACAAAGTATTTAGACTTGACCGTTCTAGCTTTACTCATCCCCCGGACCCCCAGAATAGTCGGAAATTCAGAGTAAATGGGGGTGGTGTCCTTATTGCCATAAAACATTGTCTTGACATAGAATCTAAAATCATTCCTGTCAAATGTAGAGCCGAGATTTTGAGTATTGAGCTTTCTGACAAGTTAGGAAGAAAATCCATATTAAGCTCGTTCTACAGAGTTGGCACACTTGGCAATGATAACCATGATAGAGTCAAGCAATACCTACATAACATCCGTAGGCGTAGAAGAGTACAGAGCATTACCTTGGTTGGTGATTTGAATATGCCCCAGGTCAGATGGGATGAGGGCTCCTCCTCTGTTCCTATTGAACAAGCATTCATTGATACGTTTAATGATTTATCTTTACAGCAGCTGGTAACAGACCCTACACATTACAGGGGAAATGTTCTAGATGTAGTTTTGACGGATAAGCCAGAAATTATATCAGAATTAATTGTTGACAGTAAACATGGTATTTGTGGGTCGGATCACTATGCGATAAGATTTGACATAAGACTTAACGCTAGAAAGAAAAAGTCTACCAAACGAAAAATCTATAGCTTCAAAAGGGCCAATTGGACCAATTTAAATAATGCACTGAATTCTGAAAACTGGGAACATCTACTTAGTGGTAAACCAGTCGAAGAGGCCTGGTCAGTTTTCAATACTATTTTCACTTCTCATTGTAATTCACATATTCCTAAGATATCTGTCTCCGATGAATTTCAACCCCCATGGTTTGACTCAGATGTCTTTGATTTATGTAGAAAAAAGGAGCGACTACATGACGAATGGAAACAGTCTTCTAATCCAAAAAAATATTTAAAATTTTCCAAAGCTAGGAGGGATTTTAAAAATCTCGTTGATGCAAAATTGGACGCAAACTTTGAAGATGATGATAACAGAAATCTCATTAACAAAAAGTTCTGGTCTTTTGTGAAATCTAAATCAAACTCTAATCGCATTCCTGAAACAGTCAGCTACAATGGTTGCCTACGGTCCGATCCGCAAGGACAGTGTGAGTTATTCAATAAATATTTTAACGAACAGTTTACAGAGGGTAGTGATTATGATATAGATATCGACTTTTCCAGTGACCGTGATTTTCAGGTCAATTTCGACACTTGTAAAATCAAAGGTTTACTTGAAAATATTGATCCAAGTAAAGCGCAAGGGGCCGACAATATCCATGGAAGAATTTTAAAGTACTGTTTAGTGAGCCTGTCTAAGCCTCTTGCTATCCTTTTTGAAGCTTCTTATAAAACTGGATGTATTCCAGCAGATTGGAAAATGGCAAACGTTGTTCCAGTTCATAAAAAAGGCTCTAAAATTGAAGTTAACAACTATAGGCCAATTTCTCTGACAAGCATTATTATGAAAGTTTACGAAAAAGTAATCCGGGATGAATTGCTCAATCGATGTGAACATCTTATTGATCAACGTCAACATGGTTTTATGAGTAGGAAATCATGTACAACTCAGCTAGTAAATTTCTGTGACAGCTTAGCCCTATCTCTCAATGACAATGTTCGCACTGACATAATATACTTTGATTTCCAAAAAGCTTTTGATTCTGTCAACCACGACATAATTCTGTTGAAGCTCAAAGAACAATATAACATTGATGCATCTCTACTGAGATTCTTCAAGTGCTACCTTGAAAACAGATACCAAAGGGTTGTCATTGGAAATAAAATGTCTGCTCCCTGTCAGGTTAGATCAGGTGTCCCCCAGGGCTCAATTTTAGGGCCTACTTTATTTATACTTTTTCTTAATGACATTACAGAGGATTTGTCAACGGAAACAAATATAACCATGTATGCTGATGATACAAAAATATGGCGTAGAATCACGTCCCAGGATGACCATTGGCTGCTCCAGCGGGATATTAACAGTCTTCAAAATTGGGCTCATCATAATAAGATGGTGTTTCACCCTTCAAAAAGTCACGTTCTTTCTATTACCCGAGCATATTCTATGAATCGTAGTGTTAATTTTGTGTACTCAATGAATGAAACGGCTATCGAATACACAGACATTGAAAAAGATCTTGGAGTACATATCAATAGTAAGTTAGATTGGTCACATCACTGTGATATGATATACTCTAAGGCTAGTCAGAGGTTAGGCCTTCTAAAAAGAACATGTTACTTCACCAAGAACACTAAAAAACGTCGGGCCTTCTATCTATCTCAGGTTAGAAGTCATTTCGAACACTGCACAATTGTCTGGCGGCCTCATTCAGAAACCTCGGTGGAGAAACTTGAATCGATACAAAAAAGAGGTATCAAGTGGATCCTTAATGATATTTACTCGAGCCTTAGGGACAAAAAAAGGTATTTCATAGCGTGTAAGGAACTAAATATCCTTCCACTCTCGGTAAGGTTTGATTACAAGGATATATTATATTTTCATAATATTTTTTATGACATGTCAGTTGTGACATTTCCACCTTACTTACGACGTTTCATGGGAAGTAGGTTAAGGCGATCACATCTAGACGATCTCAGTATGATTAGTGACATTTCTCCTCAAGTTCCACAAAACCTTACGTCAAGCCAGACCAGATGTTCAGGCATATCTAAGTCTTACTTTTACAGAGCACACATTCTTTGGAATAAACTCCCTTATGAATTAAGGGAAATCTCAAGGCCATCCGTGTTTAAAACCCATTTAATTAAGTACCTCTGGACAGTTCTAAACGACCATATAACATCCTCTGACAGTTAAACAATTTACCTTAATGTAACTATATTGTCTAAATATAAATTGATATGCAGTATAATTAATAAAATATGTTAAATAAAGTGTGTTTATAATTATGATTTATGGTACTTTGTTATTTATTATATTTATATTTTAGGCTGTAACCTTATTAGTTCAATGGAATAAACCTAGCATGCCTTGGTTGCAGCATCGCTTCACTCATAGGTGCATTTAGGGCCCGATGTAATTGCTATGATCAGTTTACTGGTCAACTGGTGTTTCGGTGTCCCTTATTTTGTTTACACTCGGTCACTTGTCAAGGCATGTAAGGTCATTCGGCGATATTTTCTTTGAAATAAAATGATGTATTTGTGTAACAATTTGAAAGTTTATTGATAAAAAAAAAAGTCGTTGTTATAGAAGTCTATATAAAATCATATGTGAGATAATTTTGAATCTGACGCACGTTTTTCACGTAACACTGAAAAACCAGTATTTTCTATTCAGTAATTTTTATACTAAGGAACTTTCTATTTACCTGAGAAATGCGTATCCTTGTCTCACAAAACACGTAAAACAACTTATTTGACAAATTCACCTCAAATTAGCCCTATTTAAGCCAATTACATACAAATTAATGTGTGGGATTTTGAAATGGCGGCCACAATTTTGGTAGTACGAAAATATGGGGATTTTTTCCAAAAATCCCCAAATTTCGTACCATATAAATATGTCTCGTAAGGTATAAATCGCACAGTAATTTTTTTAAACCTGGTTAGGTGAAAAACAATCATACATAGTTGAATACAGACGATTTGTACAATTTAAGATTTTTAGCATCTGATAGAGCGGGATGGAAGTAATTGTTATAGCTTGTGTATCAGTATTTATTTTTTTCTGGCTACTTATCAGATCTTTAAGATGTTCATTTATGTTCTATTTTTGATTTGAATAAAGTTATATAATAGTAATTTATATAATAACATAGTTGATAGTAACAATAACAACAGAGAAAGCAAAAGCATTCCCAACGTCACTTACCCAACATATTCCAACTTTTGGTGAGTTGCCGGAACAGATCATTTGAGAAGACCTTGTTGAAGTATGGGGGAGTAAACAGGACATCCCATCTGGTGACATTGTGGAATGTTCGAGATTCTTTAAACTTTCTCCCTATGTCTTTTAAGCCAGCGGAGCAAGTTTCCAGGTCATCACTTACAGCTCCTAGTTCTGCTTGTGTCGAGTTTAGATCTCCGGTCACTGTTTCCAATGCAGTTTCAGTCCTGTTCATATCAGCAGTCACCTCATCCAGCTCAGCAGTCACCTCTTCCAGATCAGCAGTCACCCCCTCCAGCTCAGCAGTCACCCCCTCCAGCTCAGCAGTCACCCCCTCCAGCTCAGCAGTCACCCCCTCCAGCTCAGCAGTCACCCCCTCCAGCTCAGCAGTCACCCCCTCCAGCTCAGCAGTTACCTCCTCCAGATCAGATGTTACACCCTTCAGCTCCTCCTCTGTAGTGACCAGCTTTTCCTTCGTTACATTAAGCTTCTTCTTAGCTTCAGTGAAATTCAGTCGAGTTCACTCCAACTCTTCTTGAGTTGAATTAAGAAGATTGGCTAGTGTCTCCACTTTCTCCTCCGACCTACTAAGTTGAGCCTCTGTTCCGTTCAGCGTTTTAGTCGCACTTGCCAGTTTCTCTTGTGACTCCCTCAACTGATTATCTAGTTTCCTTATCCACTCACACACTTTTACCTCACTCACAGACCCACTCCGTGATCTGTCCAGAATATCTTCCCATCGAAGGATCCTAGTGTCGGAAAATTCCTTTAAATCAAAACATAGTCCCCCTTCTGCTATTTTCTTTATTTCAGCTGACTCCAATACATTGGAATATACATTGAACTGATAAATGTCTCCTCCAAACACATGACTAGAATGTCCACCATGGATATTACCAAACCATAACTGCCCTCCCATTGTCAGCCTCCTCCCCGATGTAGTCTGGTCTGTTCCTACCAAATCACCGTCCATGTATAACTTTATTGTCCTGGACGCTACAGACCACGTTATGCAATAACTAAACCACGTGCCCACTGGTACTGTGAAAAGGTTGCGTCTGCTATCTAAACCTTTATCAGCTACTACTCTGTTATGGTACCCATCAGGCCCAATCAAAATCTCGTGACTGCTAGCTGCATAGTAATTAAACACTACCGGGTATATAGATGAGGTGGAGATACGTTTGATCCACGTGCATATGGAGAGAGAATCTCGGAATGGGGCCATGTCATAGTTGAAACTAATGCGATCGCTGGAAGAAGTTCCAAAGTGCAGGGCAGTGTACTCCTTATCAGTTGATGCAACTACAGGCAGGTAGATAACACAAAGGAACAAGAAAAACATAGCTGCGAGGTTAGAAATGAAGATAGAATTATAATGTTATTGTTAATTAGTCCGGGGTATTCGGGGGCGATAAAATGAAACTTTCTGGAGCAACGCCAGGGGTGTAGGCTCATTTGGCCAATCCACCATTGCATTATCCAAATGCATTACTGCCAAAGACAAGGAGTAGTTCAAATTTACATTCTTCATTGCTAGAATTCCTTCCTTTAAGGGGGCAGGGGGGGTCTTCATGGAAATTTTCTCAAAATCGACTTTTTAGATGTTTCTGATAGAGATGCTTTTAATCCGATAGAAAAATACTGTTCCTAACCGAAATTATCGCCGGTAGAAGGTCAGCGCTTGTGTGTAATTGTATTGCACGAGCGATTTTTGATCGCGTGCCCTTAAAATCGAGTCTAAAAATCTATCTTCGCCTACATTTTTGAACAATCACCCCCTTATATTAAGCAATATATTAAGCAAATTGTCCACAAAAATTGCAGATTCTCCCTCTTTGCACCCTTTTTGAGACCTATTATACTTATAGTATTAGTATTACTCATTAAGTATATTTTCAAAATTTAAAGGACTTTATCCTTTGACCCCTAAACAGCAAAGCTAAAATTTTCATTGATTTATCATTTCACTTTATGATTTTCAAATTGCTATATTTCAATCCTGAAAGCAAACTTTCTGAAATTCTTCCAAAGAATAAATGAATATGGGAGCGTTCACATATGACGTCAGCAGCCGAGGGGGTAGTGGGGGTTTGGAAATACTTACGGTTGCTGACGGGAGGGGGAGGGTGGTCTGAGCCAGGAGCCTTGCTAACGTCAGCAGATAAATGTTGACCATTGTTAATGGTCTTGCCATAACATTTCGAGAAGAAAGCGGCGCGCACTACTTCGAAGAAATTTAAACGAGTAACATCCGTTAAGTTTAACAAAAATGTAACGTGAATTTTGGCAAACATTTTTGTTTCTAATCAATCTTAACAATAAACATTTGCTAATTTCCTTAATATTAGTACCTCGGTAAACTGAACTCTGTTGACCAACTGTTTAAATCAGTGGCATACTAATTTTTCCTGCCTACACCCGTCAGCATTTTTATACGAAAAAATTACTAATCGTACTAATCAACTCAAGGCGTACTCAAAACGTGAAGCATCGAAAATAAGTTCAAAGTTTAGTACTAAATTATAAATGATATGGTTTATTAAGCATAGCTGTGGTCAGTTTACTATACGTATACCGCCCTCATCCGACACAAATTTCAATTGTGGCAGTGCAATTGTTTCATATTGTAGCTCAAACTTGGCTCTCCTTCAAAGTGTTATCTATATTGGTTTTGTACCCATAAAGCGGTAAACTCTTAGTCTTAATAATTTTTACGTAGTTGTTTTTTCGGAGTCAGTCGATACTTTCCCTCATCGCATCATGTCCTAATACCACCTAGTCATAGTATATAGTACTATTATAATAGGGTACTATAATTAGTACTATTTTAGGGTCACTATGTCTATACTAGAGCGGAGTTTTTTGACATACCACCATTAATATTATTGTGCACCAACTAATTATATCCATTCCATTGGTTTCGACGTGATGAGGGACAGTCTACATTTATAGTTATAGTTATAGTTATACTGATAGCTTCAAAAGTTTGAGTTGGAATATCGAACATTGAACAATTGAGTTGTGGTTATGGGAGCGCGTTCGCATATTATGACGTTAGCAGCCAAGGGGAAAGGGCGGGTTTGGAAATGCTGAACGGGTCTGACAGTGACTCTGAGGTTTGCAGAATTGAACGTGAATTTTGGCAAAAATGGTTGGTTCAAATCAATTTTATTAACAATTAAATAAAACTTCGCTAATTTCCTTAATATTAGTTCGGTGAACTTAGTTTTAACTCTGTTGACGATCTGTTTAACTTTATATCAGTCGCATACTAATTTCCCTGCCTAGTACGCCCTACACCCGCGTCAGCATTTTTATACCCCCTCGCTGGCTGACGGGAGGGGTACCTAAGTATTAAGTAAGGGAGTTAAGAAGGCAAGGGGGTCTGGCGAATGCTGACGTCATTAGGGGGGGGGGGGGGGGTGGGTCACTCAATGCTGACAGTTGCTGACAGAGGGAGGGGGAGTAAAATTGGCTAAAATCTTGCTGATGTTATATGTGAACGCTCCCTATGCACCTTTTTCAAACCACATTTATCTAGCAAGAGCTGCTGGCAGGCTATAATATACATTTAAAATTGTAATATTTTAATCGTTCTTAAATAGTTAAAACTGTGTTTGAAATGCCAAATTGCTCAGCTAGGCCTTCTCCATTAATTATACTCATCTGGAATTTGGACAATTTTGATGCTGCTCTCGGCAGTCCTGTCATGTGTTTAAAGTTTAAACTTGTTACAGGGATACTTGCCACGGAATGTTTCGCAGTCGCTGTTTTAACATCCAGGCCCACAGCGCGCTACATTATAAAAACTCTATAACACACACACACACACACACACACACACACAAACACACACACACACACACACACACACACACACACACACACACACACACACACACACACACACACACACACACACACACACACACACACACACACACACACACACACACACACACACACACACACACACACACACACACACACACACACACACAC